CTAACAAGAGCTGGGTTTTTTTCTTTTATTTTCTTGGTATTTTGTTTTCCTTCCCCCCCCCCCCCACTTCCAACCAAAACTTGGAACCTATTCAGATTTCCAGCAAACTGCAAACATTTCCACAATCTGTCTGGAAAGTTGGTGTTTGGGGTTTTTAAAGATTTTTTAGAACTCTTTTCTTTTTCCAGGGTATGAATCTGCCCTGTGCCTCCCCCTCCCCCCTGTTCTCAATGCCCTGAGGGGGTTAAGGCTGCCTTTGTTTAAAAAATTTACATATTAAAAAGTTGTATTTTTAGCTCTGGAAGTTATGGATCCTTGGCGGAGAACCGTCGCCCCATAAATCTCGACGCCGTCAAAAAACGCAACCGAGAAGCATTTCGCTTTTTAGAAGTTTCAGCTGTTAAACGCATTTTCATTCAGCTGGAACTTTTTCACGAGGCTTTTTCAAGACTGCTGTGTGTTATGGGGGGGTTTTTTGTGGTGGAGGAAGAGATAAAGAGAATTTTCCATTCTCTGGGGTGTTTTTTTTTGGAGGAGGGGGGGGATTTTTCTCTCGCGCTCCAGACTAGGGGGGGGGGGAAAATAGCAGCTTGCAAAGTTTTGCTCCAACTCTGCAGATGTTTTTATCAATTGCCCAATATTTTATCCCCTCCTTTGCAACGTAATAAAAGGGCTTTTTATTTATATAGAAAAAACAGTTTTTGTTTGAGGAGTTGGGGGGAGCTGGAGATCAGGAAGGAAAGAGAGAAATTCACTAGTTTTATCTCGCCTGCCACAGCTTCCCTCCCCCCCCCTCTCGTAGTTTCCAGACAAAGCAAAGTCTGGGGGATTTTTTAATTTTTTCCCCCCCAAGAGAGTCTAAAGCAGCAACTTCCCACTGCACGAACCGCGTGCAATGGCTCACTTTGGGGCTAAACAGTGGAAGATGTAGAAACTATCACCCCAAACAGGTGTGGGGGGTGTCTGTGTCTGCCCACTACCAACTCAAACTTCTTAGCTTCGTGGTTGAGCAAGTGGAAAGTTTGGAAACCAACACAGGAAGATTCTGGCCGGAGCAAAATAGGGACCAGGCTGAAGTCACCACAACGGGAAACTAATGCAACGATAAGCAATCACAACAGGAACTCACAACGTTGCAGGAGGGAAAAAAAATCAACTGCCACAACCCCCTTGATTCTTTAGCCTTGCTAGCAGTGGATGATGGGATTTGTAGCCCCCAGCAAAAGAGGAAAAGAACTGGAGGATATCTGGCTGTGCAGGTTTTCTCCACTCAGCTGTATGTGAAATAGGCTGGGTCCTTCCTTTGCGGGCAGGGGCATCTCACAATCACACACACACACAGCCCCCTGTGCCTGCAGGGACCACCTCTGGGAGACCCCACCCCCATGGCACATGCAGTGCGCAGGTCCAACGGTGCACAGCCTCACTCGCATGCCCCGACCATCCCAGGTTGCGGGTTAGATTCCCGCCTGCTTCAAGTTAGTGACTTCGTGCGGGCAAGCATTATTTGGGGTGGTGGGAGGGGGAGAGGGGAGAGGGGAGCACCTCCTTACCCTGCGTGCTCACAGCCACGTGGAGGGTGAAACGGGGGTCGCCCGCGCCAGGGGCTGGGTGGGCGCCGGGAGCCAAGCTAGCGGAGGGAGACCCCGGGGGCGCCTCGGAGGAGAGCCCGGAGGACGCCGGCGTGGTCTGCGCATCCCCTGCGTCAGCAGTGACAAACACACCGTCAGGATTGAGCCTGTGGCCCTCCCCTAGTGGCCTGCAACCTCAACCACAACCCTACAGTGTTTCTCGGCCGAAAGGATTCGAACCCGTCTCCTCGCTCCATCCCAGTCTGGGGAGGGAGGTGTATCTGTCGGAAGGGCGCCAGGCTCCGTTTCTAAATCTGGACGACGTCCCTGTAAAAGGGGTCAACGAAGACCCACTTGGCCGGTTCTTTGTGCCCTGAGGGGGCCTGAAGGATGCTATCCGGGACCCAAAGGCTGAACTGGGGCTTGTTCTGTGTTCGAATCCTCCCCCTAACCCCTGGTTTCTCTGTTGCTCTTTGCAACTGCTGTGCCTCCTGCCCAGAACCCCTTCCAACCAGCCACATTTGGCGTCTCCTTGCCGGGCGCAGAAAACAAGGAAGGGGGGGGGGGGTTGCAATGATTGGGGAGGGGGCTGGAAGATCCCATCCACCTCGTGCAGGAGGGAGGCGGAAATAACATTTTGGGGTGCTAAGAGACACCCTCCTCTTCCTCCCCTCCCCACAAGATGGCCCTTCCCCCCCCCACCCGGCTCTCTTCCTTTAGCCCCCATAACAATACCCTCCCCCGCCTTCCCAGTCTCTCTCTCTCTCCCCCTCCCCAATTTAATCAAGGGAATTTGCTCCCCCGCTGTGCAATTAATGGTCTTGCTTAGGGATTTAATTGCCTTCCTTCCAAGGGATTAACTCCACGATTGCCCAGTTGGGAGGGGTGGGAAGGGGGAAAGAGAGACCCCTCCAGTGATCCTGGCTGGTGGAAGGGGGGGGGGCGGCTGTCCCCCTCTTCTCCCCAGCACAGCAAGGGGGGGGGGGCGGCACTGATTATTCACAGAAAGGAAGAAATGGTGTGCCAGAAACTTGCTGTCCCTCGGAATCCTCCTGATGGCAGCAATGGCCCCCACCTTCTTTGCAGAGGTTGCCCCCTCCCCTGAGAATCTCCACAGACACCCCAACCCCCAACCCAAATATTTACAGGCCACTCATCCCCTTTTTCTCCCTGGAGGCAGCAGCCCCAAAGAGCCAGAAGCATGTTTCGCACGGGGCACCACCCGAGCCCATCTTCGGTGGGACTTTATGTGAGATGCGGGTGGGTGGGTGAGTGGGTGTCCCCCTCCTTTCCTAAAGGGGAATCTCCCCACCTTGGCAATTTGGGGGCAGGTGGGGGTGGAGCCAAGCTGGCAAGGTTGGGGAAACTTAACCCACATGTCTAAAATAGCCATGAATGTCAGCCAATGTATGTCAGACCTTAACATGCACTATGTAGGACAATGTCAGACCTGGGCACTTTAAGAGGAGTGGACTACAACTCCCAGAATTCCCCAGCCAGCTTCTGGGACTTGTAGTCCACTCCTCTTAAAGTGCCCAGGTTTGACAGTTTAGAAATAGGGAGATGTGGCTGAAAAGCAGGAAAGACACGATGGGAGGAAGATGGAGGATGAAAAAGCAAATTTTGGGAGAGAGAAGGCCGGGGTTACTGACCATAAGCCGAGTCACTGAGGCTGTCGTGTTCCCCCGTGGACGTCACGCCCTCTGGAACAGAAAGGGGGCAAGTCAAGGGCTGCAGTCAAAAAACACCATACAAGGGGCACACACAGCCGGATTGTGGCACCCTGGTGAACACATTTGCAGCCACGAAATAAAGGGCGAAAACACGTGGTGGCCCCACGAACTCAAACTCGTTTCTCTGAATAATGGCCGGTGGCCAGGAATATCACCAGGGTCTTTAATTCCCCCCCCCCAAAAAAAATGCTTGAAAATTTTCTTCCGAAAGTTGCCACCCTGCCAAGCCAAATGTGCCAACTTGGCTCGTGCCTCCGTTTGCCTCGACCCACAAAAAAAAATGTTTTCTAGATTCCAGACGAAAAGAGTTGTTTCATTTCAGCTTTTTTTTTTTTTTAATGAATTAAGAGAGTAGGAGAGAGGGGAGGAAAAGGGAAGAAGAGGGGAGGAGTGGTGGAGAGGAAGGGGAAGGAGAGGAGGAAAGAAGAAAGGAGAGACGAAGGGAAGGAAGGAAGGAAGGAAGGAAGGAAGGAAGGAAGGAAGGAAAGAAGGAAGGAGTAGGGCTGTTGTAAAATACAGGTGTATGAGATGGTAGAAAAGCAATCTCGATTATATCTTTGTATAGCCAAGAAAATATACCAAAAGAAGGAAGAGGAGAGGAGAAAGGAGAGGGAAAGAAGGAGGAGGAAAGGAGAGGAAGAAATGAAGGGGAAGTAAGATTAGGAGAGAGGGGAGGAAGGGAAGAAGAGGGGAGGAGTGGTGGAGAGGAAGGGGAAGGAGAGGAGGAAAGAAGAAAGGAGAGAAGAAGGGAAGGAAGGAAGGAAGGAAGGAAGGAAGGAAGGAAGGAAGTAGGCCTGTTGTAAAATACAGGTGTATGAGATGGTAGAAAAGCAATCTCGATTATATCTTTGTACAGCCAAGAAAATATACCAGAAGAAGGAAGAGGAGAGGAGAAAGGAGAGGGAAAGGAGAAAGAGAAAAGGAGAGGAAGAAATGAAGGGGAAGTAAGATTAGGAGAGAGGGGAGGAAGGGAAGAAGAGGGGAGGAGTGGTGGAGAGGAAGGGGAAGTAGAGAAGGGAAAGGAGAGGAGGAAGGAAGAAAGGACAGAAGGAGAGAAGAAGGGAGAGAAGGAAGGAAGGAAGAAGTAGTAGTAAGATCGTTGTAAAATAAGACGGGTGTTATACAGAAAAGCCATCTCGATTATATTTTTAAACTTAGAGAAAAATTGTTATCAATGTTAAAAGATAACACATATTATTAATAATAGTTATGAGATTGCATATTTGCGAATGTAAGAAAAATTAAAAAAATGGTTTCTAGATTCCAAGCAAAATAAGGAATTAAAACAATTGCTTCATTTCACCTTGTTTTTAATTTTAAAAAAATTGCCCTTTTTCCAGCACAAATCCCAAGGGAATAATAATAAGGAGGCTGTAGGTTTTTGCAAGCTGTGGTGGGCAGCCAGCGGGCATGGCCCCTTGATGGGCACGGCAGAACTGTGGGTTTTAGGGGGGTGGGGGTGGTCTTGAGGCCTTTTTTGCTTCTCCGAAAAATCACCCACCTTGACAGTTGCCCCGGGGCTTGGTGGCGTTTTCCAGATCTTGCTCAAATCCGCTTCTGCAGGGAAGTTAAGAGAAGAGACGCCTCATTAAATTAAAGGTGAAGCTAAAAGCTCCCCTCACACATCTGTGCCAGTCGTTCCCGACTCTAGGGGGCGATGCTCATCCACGTTTCA